TATATATATATATATATATATATATATATATATAGACACACACACACACACACATACATATACTAGTTTTTATACACGTGCAATGCACGTGGTTAAATATCATGATTAAGTAATTTTAGATTACTTTCTAACTAAAATTTGTTTCTCAATTCCACTTTAATAGTTTATGCTCACTTTTGTCTCTAAACTTTTATATTGTGATTATTTATTTTCTTTGATGTTTATTTAAATGGGCTACACCCAATTTAAAATTTCATGTTGATATTAGAATTGATAGAAAACAAATATAATTTGAAGCTAATTTAAATTTTTATATTATTTTGACTGACATGAAACCAAAATTTGCTTGAGAAAGTACAATATTGCAAAAGTGAAAAATATTGTTATACAAGGAAGATGAATATTTAAAACCAATAAGTCAAAATAATTGGTTAAAAGTATGCTAAAATGATACAAAAGAGAATATGAAGTTTGTTCCTAATCATTGATAGACTTCATAAAAAATTATAAATTAAATATTAATGCTAACTCTAATATACTTTCATATGATAAAAGCATCTGCACAAGCATGTAAAAGTAGTGAAAAAAACTCATGAAACTCCCTTCTAAAGATTTCTAAATTCACTCAAAATAATTAAATTATTCTATAAAATATTCATAAAATATTATATTTTATTCCTTATATTTTATTTTTTATTGAGCTAAGATCAACTTCCTCACCTTTATCTTTTTTCTCAGGCAATTCTAAAGTCGTGTCTTCATCATCTACTCGACTGTGTTGTATTTTTTGTGCTGTTATCTTTCTTGAGCTCGTTAATCTTTTATCTTGTCATTTAACTTCACAAAAAGTTAAATGTATTTCCAATGTTCAGCACAAACTTCTTAAAATACAGACTTTGATTTTTTTATTTCAATGGGAATAAATATTAATCTCATATATATGAAATTCTTTGTGTTTCTAATTATTACTTAAATAAGATTAAGTGCTACCTTTTTTTTCTCTACAATAAATTCTTCCGATGTGCATCCAATAAGAGTTTCCGTTACGTCAATAATATTACATTTGCTCTATCCGTGTCATTTTTCACAAAGATTTAAACTAAGTACCTATATTTTTTATTGCCAATTTTCCTTGGTTTATAATATTAATATTTAATTTATCTAGTATTTGAAGAACAAAGTATGAAATTTATGAATGCTTCCTAATTTTTCTTATATCTTCCATAGAGAATTCT